TACTAATAACATCAAGCAGTCACTTTTCTCAATCTTCACTTGTTTTGAAGTAAAGTTAATGGTGGTTTGAAGTGATTACAGCGGGGTGCGCAATAGACTTACCTCCACGTGGTGCACCCTGGGCAACGTATACTCATACGGCAAAAAAGTCTAATAACTGGCAGTTGACTTCAAACTACCATGACCCCACTGTATGACATATTCGACCACTTTCACAGTACTCATCTTACCTTTTTTATGCCTTTGTGTCTGTCTGTCTCTTTTACCTCTGTGAATCATTATTATATCTCCCATCTCGACTTTTTGTCACTTTAATGTTCCTCCTCCTCCTCTCTGTGAAGCCCCGAAGTCAGCCTGCCATTTGATATAAATAAAGTGACTATAGCCCAATAAGTTTAGTATTGGCCATAGTTCTCTTCCAACACATTTTCAATCAATTGAATTGTGTTAATTTCAACTTTCCTTCAAATTGCATTATTATATATTTTAAACCAAAGGTCAAAGCATAACGTATGAAGGGATTTTTAAATTCCAGGTTCTACTCACCGTCATCTGGTTCTTCCTCGCCTTTTTCAATCAGTTCCTTGATTGCCTCGGCAGCTTGCCTTCGAGACATCCAACTGATTAGACCGTTAGAGAAGATAAAGGGTTTGTGATGAACCCAGTTGATGGGGTCCATTAAGTCTCCAAACTCCATTGGTTCGTACTCCTCAGCCACTATCAAGTCTTCCGGTTGTTCCTAAAATTGAACTAATCCTTGATCAGCGCACACTTCAATTCAATTAAGTGTCAAAATTCGCATTAGAGTACCCCCAAATGCCCTCTTGTTTGGCGAAAATGCAGTACCTTCGACCTCACATTCACTAGCCTGCCTAGTCTCTACCCTTGCGATAAATTCTTCATTACGCCTTTTCCTCACAAACAGACATACCTCACTTCTTTTCTCCTAATTCCTCTCGCTCATTCACAGCTGTCCATGACAGATTTATCCACACCTCTTTGTCTTCCCATTTTTTTAAAGTTTATCTGCCTGCTAGTATCAGGGAGATAATTGGTTCCATAAAGAGATATCTAACCCAACTTGATCAACCCATAAAGCAGATTTAAAATAGACTGGAACTAATTTTTTGGTAGGCGCACCATCAATTATCAATAAACTTGCTACTTTAATAATTACAGCTTAGGAATCAGTTAAGTAGAATGGTTAATGTTCCTAATCCCATTGAAATACATTTTCCTAAGTTGCTAATGAGTATTTTCTAATAATGGTTAGTAATTATCTAGATTTTTATACTTCACCCAAACACAAAGGCCTCAATCAAGAGTTGAATTTATAATATCTTTGTATTTCTAAGGATGGGAGGTCAAATTGTAATTCGACTTAGTCGAAACCAGTTAAGGTGACTCAGATGCAATTGCAAATTTCTTATCTACTCATAGCTGCAAAAAAAGGTGATTGAATCTGATTTAAAGCTTAAACGAGCATTATCGGTGTATTCGAAAGAAGCTCGCAAAATTTGTATCTTTCGTGAATGGGAGGATTAATTATTGACTTTTACACACACTCACAATTGGTTATGTAAAAGCACCAGGAGAAGAAACAAATAGTGCTGAAATTGTTGCCCAACCAGAAAACCAAGCATCTAAGATGCATCCAATTCCATATAACTAGGTTTATTCCCCCAATATGGAAGTGTCCTTTTGAGGCTGCATGTCTTCTGATTTCTCCAATGATAAGTCTAAGTTCGCGTAGTCAGCAGCCGAGTTATAAACATTTTTGCTATATGAATATACGTTGTTCAGGGTGCACCACATGGAGGCAACATGTCGCCTAAGTGACCTACAGGAGGAGATGGAGAAGACCAACCTGTTTCGGTGTCCAGCTCTAAAGACAACGACAGAAACCCAGAGATACTGGGAAGCCAGAAGTCAACTAATGAAAGTCAAAGTCAACTAAGGGGCTAATGATAAATATCATAAAGCCCGCCATTTAGAAAAAGGTCTACATAATTGGAGCTAAGAAAACGGACAAATGAGCGTTTTAAAAGATTCAACCAAGCACGACCAGCAATACAGCTAGCTTGAATTATCTGCAGCCATTAACCTTAGTATTAATTCATAAGTATTGCGTTTAAGAACATTCGCTATTAGAAGTTAAAAACTGTCCCTTTATGTCATCCTGACCATTTTATAAGCATTATTCGTCCCCTTTCTCTGGAACTTACCTTAGTGGATTCATTTTTCTTCCCTCGTATTCATATGTTTTCCCCATGATTAAAATTATACGTTTTCT